TTAGGCAGAAAACGCCAGCAGCTGCGTCTCCTAATTCTTGCAGCTCGCAGCCGAGGTCTCTGGTGGAAGGGGTAACAGCGCTGCCCGTCCCACCCACCCGTTTTTAGGAAATCACCTGCAAGTTCTGGTAGGTAGTGCCCTGAAGTTAAGGAATCCGGGCAGGAGGCGGCGAAATAGGCGCAGGTCGGTACAACCCCTCATCATTAGGCTCTTTGCAAACCCCACAGCGAGCTCCCTCACCTCCCGGCAGAGATCCGCGGGATACGGAGCCTGGTCTCTGCCACCACCTTTTGTCTGGGCGACACAGACTTTCATCCCCAGAGATGACAGCCCAGCTGTGCTGGACACACCGGTGTGTGTATGAGGGGTGATGGTTTGCCATCAAACAGCTTGCTGCGCAGCAGAAAGGCTGGGTGAAGCACAGGAGGAGGGCAGCGGGCAGGGCGGTTCTCCCAGCTGCTCAGGAGATGCCAGCCTGCTCCAGGCAGCACCCAGCACCACGGGCCCGTGGCAGAACAAAACTAATCCAGGCGTGGTTGCTCAGCTCCACCCTATGCCGTGCTCTCAGAAGTGTCAGCTGCAGTACAGGTCAGCAGAAATCTTCCCAAAAGCCTTCTGGTGGTTTCCCATACTGACCCACCTCACCCGGAGGTCAGACGAGCATCAGTGCCAGGAACGAGAAGCCACAGCAGCACCCACTAAACACATGGAGCACACCCAGACTCTTGCTGTGGCAGGGTCAGTACCCTTCCCCAAACGACAGAATTACTTGAAAAATCAGTATATTCCCTCAGCTCATTGCTGCTGCAGACCAGTCTCCTAGCCTCAGATTTTGCCCCAAAAGAATAGGATGGGAGATGTCATCTGAAAGAACTGAGGCGGGATAAGTGCTCTGTGCACAGGAACTGCCAGCAGGACCCAGGAGTCACCAGCACCTGTCAGCCTGGGAGGCTGTGCACACTGTAACATCACTGAAGAGCAGGTACATCCGTAAGGGCTGAGGGAAATGACAACGTAGCGATAACTGCAGACGTAAGCAGACAGACGACTGTTTAAAGTCATGGCCCAGGACAGATCGGTCAGATTTTGGCCTAACGCCTCTGCACCGATCGATCAAAAGCAGCCGAGCGGTTCTCCACAGAGCACGCCTGGCACGGGCGCCCCACAGGTCACTCGTGGGGCTGGGCGTGCGGTGAGTGACAGAGGGACAGCTGAAGAGCTAACCCTATGCTTGGAAGCACCCGTGTAAAAGATTTCCTGAGGAAAAACCTTTAAATGTAACCAACTGGCTTTTCTCATGTACAACGTGTTCAACCATACTGTACGCAATGAATCCTGGCAAGTTAAAGAGATACTTACAGTTGCATTTCTCTTAAATCCTGCAATGACAATATATTATATGTGCGAGCTCAACAAAAATGAAGAGAACCAGTGTTTTCTACTACAAATCTGGGAGGGTGTGTGGGGAAGCGTCTCTGTAAAGGAATGAGTAATGAAGTTTTTGGAAACCATGAATCGACTCTCACAATCCAAGATCTGAGCATTTAATAAAAGTGTTGATTTTATTACCATTTTTTGCCCTAGTACGGCAAAGACAACAGACACAAACTGATAAAATTTTTTTTATTATTCACTTTTGAATTCTTTTACACTTTCCTGATTATTTCGTGTAAGGTGAAACTAGAACTGTTTAAAAGACATACACAAATCTAGTACATCAATAACCAGGTATTTCTTTTTGCTATACTATTCTCACAACCACGTGTGTGCTAGGCAATATAACCGTCACAGAAGCAAACTTTAGGCAGAATACTGGTCAGTAAAAACAAAGCGAAAAGAGCTACCAGATATACAGACAGGCTCGGTTCCACATTCACTACTGCATTTATCAAGCGCCAAGTATTAACTGCACAATTTGTTCAGCTAGTAGAGGGGAGTTTTAAAATCAGTGCATGAAATTCTCTTCAGCAGACAGATGGACAGATAAACGGATGGATCCTATACCTAAGTGGAATGTGAAGGCAGGGGATGATACCGCGAGGCTGACAGGTGACTCTTTTCCACTGCATTATTCACACAACTCTTGTTAGGTTTTATTTAATGGGACATGTTTGAAACATAATTAGGTGAGGGCATTTGAAGCTCAAATATTGCAAGTTACAAGCATTACAGATGTGTAGGTCTGCATTCCAGGACAGAAACGGGAAATCCTGAATATTTGAGCCAGATGCTGGTACTATCAAAAATAAAAAAAATAATAAAAAAAAAAGGCAGACAAGAGCTGAAGACTGTGACAGCACTGACAGCTCTAAACATCCAAGAAAGAAACCTGGCCTCGAGAGGGCTCAGGTCTCCCACACCATCCTGACGCCACCCATAATCAAAAAAAGAAAGGATGACGCACATGTGGGAGTCCAGAATTGCTTTAATGGAATTTTAACAGGTGAGAGGGTCAAGAATGAGCAGAGTCCAATGGGAGAAAAATTTCTATAAAGTGAACTTAAAGATGGCTCAGTGGATTACTTAATAAGTTCTCAGGGCAAATTCAAAATGGTAATACCATGGAGATTTCGATTCACCTAAGAGTAAAGTAATGCAAAAGTGGCAGATCACTTCATGGTATCATCCAAACTAATAAGGCCATTCAGAAAATTGAATCTTCTATTATAAGTCCATGGGAGTGAACCAAGACTTCTCACTACTGAAGAATAGCTAAGGTGTAATTAGGCAAGTTATTGCTGTGGGAAGGGGCTTAGTCATGCATGTCGTGTGAGCATGAAAGCACTTTGAGAAGTCAAATCCCAGTTATCTGACGGTGTAAAGTTTGGAAATCAAGCTGCTAACTCTCCCATTACCCCCCTCCCCAAAATAAACCCCATCCCCAGAAAGGCAGGACTGACAAAGTGAGCTTTTGACTGACTTGGTTACAAATGTCTACAGAGTGTGGCCGTTAAGCTAACTCGGAGCAGTGTTACTAACTGGAATGCCATACATCGGACTGGTTTCCTTCCATGCCCCAGTGTCACAATAGAATCTCTATAACTTTCTGTACAACTTTACAACAGAATTGTACTTCGACTATTTTGGTGCCAAATTAAGCTTGCCAGAGTTTACATAATTGATGTCTACTTTTCTACCCAATAAGAGTTTTGCAAAGTCAATTGCGATCACAAAACCCATAATCACAGTGTTCAGTTAAAAATATAAACACGGTAATCGTAACTGTAAATGTTCATAATAGGAAAGTTCGGAATGCCATTGTAATAACCGACCTCCGCTTTAAGTACACAAAACACCAACCAACTGTTTTTACCCCACAGACAGTTTTTGCTACGTTGAGGTTGTGAAAGTCGATGTACTATTCTTTTTGCTTGTCGCACAAAGGGATGTATGTGTAGGATACAGGGTGACATTGAACATATAGTGAAGCGTGACAGCCATTAGTTCTCGCCCTCCCCAGCATCCCCTTCGTCTCCCTGGTTTTCCGACGTCCATAGCTGTAAGAAAACACAAACACGTGTTTAAGCTGGAAGCACACAGTGAGTTGCAATTGCCAGAAAGGGAAGACAGTGTAATTAGCAGTAGCTCTGCAATCTCCTCAGCTAAGAGAAACACAGAGCTGAGCTTAACAGCAAAGCTAAAGAACAATGAACTAGAAAACAAGTAGAGGAGAACAAGTAAAAACCAGCACAAGTTTGCAAGCTCGACACAAAGCTGGCTGCTGAGAACAGACAAACTCCACTTTGTGTTATAAAAAAGCTGAGTTTGGTACAACGTGTGACAAGTGATTTCTGGTTTAAACAAGAAAATGTAACTGGTGTGGTTGCAAAAAGCATGTGGTTAAGACATGCGGTAAAGTCCTCGGAAAAGGTTTTTACAAGCACAGAACCCCTTAAGTCTTCAGACGCCGTGTCCCACTTAGGCAGTGCCGCAGCCCACAGAGGTAACAGCGGTTTGCCCCATGATACTTACAGTGAGGTTGTCCCTAAGCAGCTGCATGATCAGCGTGCTGTCCTTGTAAGACTCTTCGTTCAGCGTGTCCAGCTCTGCTATCGCTTCATCAAACGCCTAAAAATAAGCAAGACGAGGCACTTTCACACTCTGCTCTCGGAATTCACTTCTGCTTACATAGAGCTTACAAATTTGCCACACTGCTATTCAAATTCTGTGACAAAAACTTCCACTTCTCTTCCACCAAAAGAAATGTAAATCGAAGCGAGCACCAAACCACTATAGACAATCAGGGGAAAACAGGTCTTTGGGTGGGTCCAGAACAAAGCCCAGAAAAACTTCACCACTGTGCTAAAACCAAGTGCTGAAGAGGCAAGCACACTCAGTCATGCTGAGGAATGATTCACACAGCTTGAAGCTGGGTTTAAGAACAACTGAAAAGCAGTACTTCCATTAAAAATGAAGGTCTTGCTGGTCTAAACTGGCAGTAAAAGACAAAGGTACCGGTAAGTTGATGCATATATTGTACATGAGTAAGCAGGTAAGCAAATGGAAGACAAGAGTGTTTTGATTGTGGTGTCCAAGTTCTTGGTTTTATTTTCAGAACACTAGGAAATCAGGTATATTCCACCAGAGACCAATAAAGCCATTCTTCCTATCAATCTGTGACACATAAAAGCCCACGTCTGCAGCTGAAAGCAGTCCGAGAGCCACGAATAAGTGCTATTTCTTCATTCAGGTTTCAAATAGGTGTAAGCAGGAACAGCAGCAGCATTTTACACAGCAAAACATCGCTTCTTGTTACAAAGCGCTATTGAAGCGCATATTAGGAACACAAAAGATTCACCTAATGCCATATTATTCAAGTTGCTAACAGATATTTTTCAGAGGCACTTTGTCTTCCCTTTCACAGGATCAACTGCACTAGCAAATTAGCTTTTCTTAAAGCTAAGCTCGTCTAGCTAACTAACTTACCTGAAAATACACTGCGATGACAATAGTTTAAAGACAATAGGATTTTTAAGGACTTTGACATGAAAAAGCATAATAATCTACAACGCGCTACCGCAACCGTGTGATTATCTCCTCAGCCTCCCCAAAAGCTGGCAGTACAAAGAGTCTGCTTACCGTCTTTGCCAGATTACAGGCCTTTTCGGGAGAATTTAGTATCTCATAGTAGAAGACAGAGAAATTCAGAGCCAAACCGAGTCGAATGGGGTGTGTTGGCTGCATCTCTTTCTTGCTAATTTCAAAAGCCTCCTGGTAAGCTTGCTGAGAGTTCGCTACTGTTGCTGCAAGGTAATTACAATCATGTTAACGCACCGTACATCATCGTCCTTCACAGGAAAAGCTATTATACTCTTGGTCTGTGCCACCAGAAATTCATACAATTACTGTTTTAACATGTAAAAGCCTACTACTGGTTGAGCTATTAAGGCAGAAATATTTGTTTAGATAAAGCTTTGAGATGCAGAAGTTCAACATCTTAATAGAGACTTAAAATGAAACCTATTCAGAACAAATTCCAACCAATCTGAATACGCATAAGCTCTACCAAAGTCAAAATATGCTGTGAATAAATACTCGGGTCCAGCCTAGCTGAAAAAGCAGTAGTCCTGAATAATAAATCCAGACAAAATCATATGGGGAAGAAAGGGTATCTAAACTACTGAAACTGAAGAAAACATTTAGCAGGTAGGTCATGAGCTTTATATATTTTTGGGGGGTTCAGAGGAAAAGACAACAGCCCCTTCCTGGCTAATGGGTAACAAGAAGTTTCAGAATAGCATCAAACTAAGTTTGCAAGACGGGGACTACCTCAGATGCTCACCAGGAATGCAGGTCCAGCTGAACACTGCTTTCCTATTTCATGATTAATTGGCTCAGGACCCAGTAACCCAATATCCCACGTTTGCATGCAGAAAGCTTGCAAGCAGTGAAGACTTGGGAGCTAAATTCATAGTTTAAACAAAAAATTATTGGAACAGAGCATTTTCCGTGAGAAAAAACACATTCTCCAGAAAAAGAATTTTACACTGTCAAGTATGTTTGCAAATCAGTCACTGAGGTGAGGGGCTGTACAAGCAGGATTTTACTGGTTTGGTGAACATCTTGTCAATCGCTTCTACTAATTTCAGTGAAGTCTTTTAGAGAAAGTGACTTGCACTGCACCTGTCTTCAATCCTACAGAGCAGTAGTGAAAAGAAATAACTACTTCATGTTAAGGGAAAACAACACAAGTATTTCTTATACTTTTTTCCGGCTCAGGCCCCTGGAGAACAAGATGTTTTATCTCTACTTACTTTGCTTATTGTCCCCAGATGCCACCTCTGAGAGGTATCTGTAGTAATCACCTTTCATTTTCAAATAGAAGACCTTGCTTTCTGGCTGCGTGGCATTGACAATAAGGTATTTATCCAGGAGTTCCTGAGAAAGGAAACATGTTTTTGTTTTTTTCTTCCCAAGTCGTAAAAATAATGTCTGAAACAGAGCCTTTGTTACAATGGTAAGCATGAACTCTTAAAACATTAAAAAAGACTTACGTATACTTGTGTGTTAATCACTTTGACTACTGTTGTTTAAACTCAAGAAGGAAAAAAAGAGAAACTACTTGTATCCCAATTCTTGGAAAGCAGAAAATATGAGGCTATCCACAATTCCCTCCTGCAGAACTTAACGCTTCTCAGTGCTTAAGACTGTAAAGATTTTCCTGGAAAAACTCTGATGCAAACCTGTGTCCACAACCAAGCCAATGAAAAGCAGCAGCTTGGCATCAGCACAAGTCTGGTCATTTTTGCTGCCACAAACTCAAATTCAACAGAGTGGTGAAATTATCCACAACCAACTGATTCTATGTGCAACTCCAGCTGAAAAGCTGAATAGCAGCACTGTCAGCACGTGCTTTCAGAAAGAGATGCAAAGACTGATGGTGCTGACAGCAACTGCTCCTGAATGATCTTTAGCAAACTGAACAGCAATAAAAAGAATCCCTCTCGGCTAAGTGAAAGAAATAGCAAAATCAGTTTGGGGAAATAAGTAGGTCCCTTCTCCATCCAGAAAAGGACTAAACAAGCCTCAGGACGTCAGCATTCATTAATGACAGAATTTCAATGGTGGGCCTTTTAGCAGGACTTGTGCCAGTGCCCCTGACCTAAATTCATTTTCACGGTGACCCACAGCCAGCAGCTGGAGGTTTCCAACATTGCCTGGTTTGCTTTTTTCCTATTAAAACCCCCCCGTTCTTTTACAATTAATTCCCTAAGAAACAAACCAGATGACTGAGGAGCTAGAATTGGACCCCAGTACCTCACTATGCAAAATTACTCCCCTGCTAAGGTGCTGCAGCATCTAAAGCACTCGAAGATTCCTTAAGCCTCCCTGAAGAAGGCTGCGGTACCAACCACTGTTATTTTTGCTGTTGGATTATTACCAGAACATCATTGCAGATATCCTGCAATTCAGCCTCAATCTTCTCACGATATTCTCTCCCCATCTGCTGTTTCTTCTCATTCCTCTCTGTTTTCTGTTCAATGCTGGAAATTACACGCCAGGACGAGCGACGGGCACCAACGACATTCTTGTAGGCAACTGAGAGTAGATTCCTTTCTTCGTTGGACAGTTCGTGTCCTTGCTCAGTGACAGCCTTCATAGCAGCAGCCATGTCATCGTAACGCTCAGCCTGTTCAGCCAGTTTGGCTTTCTGTACCAACTCACTTTTATCCATGGCTCTCCTGTAATTAGCGGGGAATAAAAATAGAGAATAATGTCTCTTGATTGTCTGCACTGTGGCAGTTAATGCTGAAGGGTGAGGGAGAACTCACAGTCACCAACAAGTGAGAAAGCTATCAACTCTGATAACATAATACAAAGGGTTCCCTTAAAAAAACTATTTGACCTTTTGCCAAATATCATAACTTCTGTGTGTAAATGACTAATCACAATCTTGTAAATATGGAAGCATTATTCTTCAAAATGCAGCAAAATTCATATCGCCATTAAGCACAGCACATCGATATGCTCTCTGTCTACATCTTTCCCCTTTCCTATACTCACTGCAGCTCAGCTCGGGAGACACTGCACGTTCTAACCCAGAAATCACCAGTTTTGGCTGGGGTTTGTTCCGTTTTGTTTGCTTTCCCATCAAACAACAGCAACTGCTTAGGAGCACTGAAGCACTGGACAGCTCCTCCTAACACTGAAGATTTTTTGCACACTAGAGGAGACATTTCTGAGGGTTTAAATAAATCAGACCCAGTAAAGTTGAAGTTGTTAGCAACTATGGAAAGTATGTTTAAACTGTTCTGCCAGAAAATTGTATTTTAATACATGCAACAAGGTACATATAATGGACAATTCTACACAGCTAGCATTGCTGCAGTTTCACATTTTCAAAAGCTTTTAAGTACTGTCAGCATTCAGAAAAACCAAATGGGACACGGCTCACGTGATGGTCGCTACTGCAAAACTCATTGCTTACATGGAAACAACTTGTTTATCATTTCTGATAACGCAGTTTAGCAACTGAAGCCAAGAAAAACACATCACATGGCTACAAGGCCCCTGAAGAGCTCAAGCAATGAAAAATGAAGGCAGTAAGGAATGTGCCAATGAGGCAGCTCGAGTGTTGCTTACTTCTAAAGACAACTCTAACATACAGTCACCTCGGCCCTTGGGCTGCCAACTCAGCCGCCTGGGGCCAGGTTCACAGAACAAGTTTCTCTGCCTTTATCAAAGTAACTGGACTTCAATACCTCACAAACTCCTAGATGCCCCAAATTAATCGGTAAAAGTTCTCCAGGTGCTTAGGTTCACTTTCGGACAGACCCAGAACCGTTACTCTTGTCAATACTGGGCAATAACGCTCCTCTCCTACTCCCTAAAGCCCACTCAGGACTCTCACTGTCCAGCTGAGAATTTTCCAGGCTGAGACCTAAGAGCCTAAAAACTACTTCTAAAAGAACAATAAAAAGCAAACAAGGAGAGTAAGTTTACAATTGCTTTTCACAGATGTCTATTCCTTAGACAAGCCTCTACAGCCCTGTTAGAAAGAACTGACAGGCTGAAAGTGGTGGCCTGCTCCTTTGCAGATCCCAGCCTGACAGGCTCCTGACGCCGAGCATCTCGCACACACTGCTCAGCTTCCGTTTTATCCATGTCACTACCCCACAGGAAAACCGGGCGCCTATACTCAACCCTCAACCAGGACAATGAGATGCAGAGCCAAATTCCCTTTGCGTGTACGAGCAGTTTGAGTTTCCTACTGCCAAAGACGGAGTCTTAACTACAAGATTATTTTGAGATGAGCATATTCGATCCCTCCAGCTGAAGATATCCCACTTTAGCAAAAAAAATTCACCCAAGATACCAAGTCAAACATTGTTATTTCACATCAAAGCTCTTGAACTAAACCCAGCAATCAAATGTCCTACCTGCTGTACATCTGTAAATCACACTCACTCCTGCTTATGTTTGACCTTTCGTGGATCTAGCCTAACATATCCCTCCACAAAAAGCACTTGGTAAGGAGAAATAATGCTAAAACACCAGTCTCCTGGAATGAGACCTCCTCCCGATCCGTAAGAAAAGTTGGGCTGCAGTTCAGTTCCATCCCAAATACTGTGTTGAAACTAGTGGATTCTGGCACCTATTAAAAGGTGACAGACTTCAGAGCCCTCAACGAGACAGATCGCCTGTGAGCAGCAGTGTGGCAAGTTCTTGTAAGGCACAATTAACCTGAGTCTGTCTTCCTCAAGGGGCTGTTACTATGGGCACATTATACTGTCATTGGCTTCTGCAGACTTATCAAAAGGAGAGCTCCTCAGGATGGGAAAGGACAAGGGGAGTTAGTTACGTGAATTTTTTTACCCTACTCTGAAGGGTATCTTAGTACTGACACATAACAAGCCTAATGAAATCATCGGACTGTTTACCATAGAGAGAGCCCATCCCACTTCTCATTGCTGCCTCTACCAAACCTCATAAAACATTCCCTTAACTCAGCGCTAAATTTAGACTACGAGCTTAACGCAGGTAGTAATTTGTGAGTGGCATTTCTCTACCCACTCACTAAAGTCTGCACTTGAACAAAGTATACCTGAAGAATGCTTTTCATGTTACAGGAACCAACTTTAAATAACAGGACATTTAAACAAAACAGTTTTAGAGCAGTTTAAGCTTCCTCACAGTCTGCACAGCTTCTAGAAGCATTTCTGCCACAACTGCTGCATCTTCTCCTTCTTACGGAATGTGATTATTATGTAGGAAGAGCCTGCTTTTGGAAGTCCCAGAGGCAAGCAGCTCCAACTGAGTTTACATTTCACCACTGAAAGGTCAGTTTTATCTCTGATCTGCACTTTGCCAATAGTGGTCTAATTCCTAGACAAGTCATCTGTGCAGCATTCCGTTTACAAACAGTATAGAGTTTAGTTTGGAGATGGTGCAGAGTTTGTTTTATCATGCTCGCTGACGTATTTATCTTTAGATGCGAGTTACTTCCTGACGCTCAATGGGCTCATATAGGGAAATCACAGAGGGAACTGCAAAGGCATAAAGACTTAGCAGATGAAAGAGATCCAGAAATCAGTTTAACTTACCAACCATACAGGCAAAACATCAGCACAAAGCATTAAAATGTTGTTTCTCATCAAACAACTTTCCTCAGCAATGTAAATAATTTATGCACAGCTTGAACGTAACTGATTACTGGTTACTGAGGACAGAGTTCCTCAGAACTTCACTCTCTCAGTTTTGACATAAAAAATAAGTATACAGGGGCTTGAGCTGTTTAATTAATCAATCTTCCTATCTGTGCTGTTAGTAGGTTTGCTATGAAACACAAGTTACTATTCAATAACATGGATTTAACAGAACTTAAATACAGTAAGAAAATTATTGCTCACACCAAAATACGTGCAGTCGACAGTAAACCTACCATCATTTTGTTCACAGAGTGCTGCATAAAGGAACACTTAAAATCCTTACTTGATTCTCCATTGCTTACCTTGTTAGAAGCTTGGAGAGAGCTTTGCAGAGCTATGCTGGCTTGAGCTCCAAAAGAGGGAAGTGTTTGCCAGAAGGAAAAAAGATACAAGGAAAGGAGTGATGTTTGAAAAGGCAAAGAAGTAACTATCAGTTATAACTGGTCCCTCCCAGAGAGGAGATGAAAGCCACGCTCTAACAATGGATCAGTGTGCCACAGTCCGAAACAAGCAAAGCCTACAGCTAAAAATACTCCTAGGCCACAAACAGAAGCCATCTAACAAAGGTTACCTGCAGCTAGGAGCAAAACGCACAGAGGTGACGAACCGGAGGCCGACAGGAACGATCTATTCTAGGCCCAAGGAAGCCGTGCCGTGTCGGCAAGGGGGCAGGGAGGGAAGGTGGAAAAAGGAGCAGAGACGTGCAGAGCACAGCCATGGAGGAGTCCTGGCAGCTGCCCCTTCTAAGCAGAAGATTCTCATGTTATACGAGCTCCTACATTTCAAATTCTTAAGACGTTATCTTCTTAAGAATCTGTCAAACCACAACTCAGTAGCCCTCCCAAAAGAAGTGGCCGGACGCTGTTTACAGTGAGGAATGCCAACCACTAGCCAGTCGTCACAGCCATTAGTACCAGCTGCCAGAAACTTGAATCACTCCAAACCCCACACATCAAAATTTATTTTTCCCCCCTCTACTCCCCACACAGCCTAGAGTTGTCTCAAAATCCCTTACAAGTGCAGAATAGCATGTACGCAGGAACCAAAAGTTACGAGTGCTTACTTCCCCCCTCCCTGCCCCTGAAAAGCTTTACACCCGCATAGACAAGACTCTGAAATATGTTAATTACAAAGCATCAAAAGCAGAGGCCGGAACCTGTAAAACACACCGGTCCGTTACTGCCTTGCTGCTTTCAGCGGAAGGCACAGTAAGAAGGTGATGGTGCGACCATCGTGGGAGCAGCACGTGAAGTGAGCACACCCACAGATCTCTCACGAGTGGATGGACACACGGAGCTGGAGGCTCCCAGTACCAGCTGATGTTCAGGTAACGTTCTTCAGAAGACTGCAGAAGCTCGAGAACCACACCTTACTGCTCAGCAGTTACTACATCTGCTTTGCAGCCTCTATCGTTTCCAGTCTCCATGAGCTGTTTAGGACAAAGCCAAAACAGATCAGAAGTAACTGTGTTTATAAAGTCTGGGGAAATCAAATGAAAACCAACACCGAAAAAAATCTGGCTTATATAACATATTGAACTGACAAGACAATACTAATAAGCCTACGTTGGCCTGAAGTCTGCTGCTCTCAATGACCTGTTCTTCTGATGCTAATTAAGTCATTGATTTTCGTGTACTGTTTTTCTCTTTACAGCAAGCATTAGAATCTATCAGACAAACGCTTCCACTTTGTAAAAAATATTGTTGAGAAAGCAGTGTAGTTACTGGTTTGCTGTACTGGTCCCTGATGAGTCAAGCAGAGATGCAGGTTAACAGACCTGCACATTCCACTATGAGAAATTAATGTAAAACCAGGTTTGGTGAAAGAGGATGCAGTCATACCTCTCAGTCACTAACTCTGAAAGTCCATTCAAATTATAAAAGGAAAAGCAGCAGACTGGTACAGAATTTGCAGTTGAATCTTTCAACGATATGTGAACATCTTATTTGATGTCTGGATGGGCAATTTATTCTGAAATTAAACATTCACATGAGGTAAGCAGTATTTCAAATTACAGTTCTATAATTACAAGAGTAAGAGCT